GATGTTGTCAAACGTTTGCCGTACAAGGGGATTATAAAGGAAACAGTTGGGCGTTTAGGGCCTCTTAGTAAGGGAAGTTGACGATGCAAGACTAGGAATGTCCCCCTATTAACAGTAGGGAACATGTCTTTGTTGTTTACAAGGCCTCTCGAAGAGCGAGACTATGAAAATGCATGGTCGTGCTCAGATGGATTTTTGAAATCGTATGCTTATTGACAGTTGAACTTGGAAATCGAGAAACTCTTGTGGACGTAATGAGGATGACGAAGAATCTTACCTTATACTTCATGAAGAGACATTAAGTGACATAGGAAATAGGCTATACACAATTAGCACACTTGTCCGGAACGACAAGTTGGAGATTGAAAGGAATGGTGTCCTTCGAACAAGTGTATTATTCTAATAGAGGGTTCAGAAATAATTAGAAAGCTAATTATTCAGTGAGGTCAAGTGATCGGAATGCCTAGCTGGAGGCCGCTTCTTATCAGTAATATTAATGAATAATTAATATTACAACTTAATCTTGACTAAACCCTACGGGTCACAGCCAATCGTGTAACCGAACCAAAGCGACAAATTAATCCGAAGGATTAAACGAGTCAATAAAGTTTTTACGAACAAAGACGTCGGATTACGAGCTTAGAGTGTCAAAACCGAGCGTCGTGCGTCGAGTCGATTTTAGGAATCGACGAAGACGAGGAAAATAATCAAATAATATATCGTGCTAAAAATTACGAGGATAGCATGAGCCCTAGTCATGTCTCGGATCGAAGGTAGGTGGCTAGGGGCCGCAAGCATCAAGGCACCAAGCCATCGCAACCCCTCAAGGCCCAGCTAGGCTGACCGTGGCGTATGGGGCTTGTTGGGGATGCTTCGTGGGCCTGCGCGCCATAGCACCCCAAATCGAGGCTGCCCAGCAAGGCCAGCAAGCAAGCCGAGCTTGCGAGGCCACTGCTGGGCCTATGCTGCTGCTGCTCGCTTGCGGGTGCTGCTATTGGGCCTGCGTGTGCGCGTGGGCTTGCGAAAACAATCGTGGGCTTTCGGCCATGGGCTAGCATGGCTAGCCTTGTGGCGCAAAGCTGCCGGCAATGCTGGCCTTGCTGCCTAAGGCCGGGCAGCTGCCTGAGCTAACCGAGTAGGTGAGGCAACCCTTGCCTTGCTCTCCAAGGCCAAGGCGGTCCTTCCACCTACTCCCTCTTTGTGGTATGACATTTGTCATTTGATTATTGTTTCATGGCCATTTAAATTAATTTAGAATTAAATTAAATTCTATTTTGCTTTTTTACCAACTATCCCACATTGAAAGATGATGGGATTTCAAGGGCTCTATTCCCTATAAATACCAATCATTTGGCATTGGGAAAGAACACTTGAGTTGGTGAACTTTAAAGGATCTCCAAAGAGAGAAAACCTTTGTTCTAATAACTCTAAGTTGTTTTTGGTCTAACCCCGACTAAGCTTCGGGGTAGGGACCGATTCGGTTTTGTAGGAGGGTGTGAGCCGTTGGAGGTTTTCGCACTTGCGGAACTTGAAGTTTTCAAGTCCGAGCTCAAAGGTTGAGCGAAACACGCTACATGGGTGAACATTATTTCTCTCTCTTCTCTCTCTTCTCTTATGTTTATGTTTATTTTGTATGCTTTTATTATGTTGTAATTATTATGCATGCGATCCGTTTATCGGGTTTTGTTTCCGCGCAGTGTCGGACACCACAAAACCCAACATTTGAATCACTTCAAAATGTTGAGTAGATCAAAAGTTATGGTAAGTTAAAGTTTGCCTTTGCACAAACAATTCAAGGCTTTCCAAAAGCTTTTCAATTCTTTTTAAGGTATTCATCCTTCTTTCATAGAACTATCAACCAAGCTTGCCCTTCTCCTTGATCAATCATTCTTGATCACCTCCATAGTGCTAAAAAGTGCTACATTACATCAAAAACACAAACAACCCGTGAAGCATGGATGATACAAAATTTGCATAAAAGTAGGATAATTAGTGAACTTTGATGCCGAATAATAACGAAAACAAGGTTTAAAACCACCTAAAATCATACCAAATAACAAGTTATCAGACAATGGATCACAAATTCGCATTCGGCAGGACCCTTGGGTTATGGATGGGGAAGGCGTTTTGGTGGAGGGCCTGAATAAGTTGCAGGATTTAACTAATTTTGATTTGAGGGATTGGGACATAAGGATCATTTAGGAGGCATGTAATGAAAGAGATATGAGGTGTATCCTTTCTATACCTCTTAGTTTCCAGGAGCAAACCGACCAAGTTACCTAGGGTTTCTCTAACAATGGTGAATACTCGGTGAAACGGCTTATACTAGCTTTTGGTAAGGGCTACAACTTGGATTCTTTCCACCATGCTTTGTCACCATTTAGGGGATGGATGTCACACCAAAGGTATGTCACTTCATTTGGTGTTTGTGTGATAATACTTTGCCTGTGCGAAGTCTTCTTCACCACTAACTTGACAATGTTGATTGCCCGTAGTGTCAGGGGTGGGAATCCATCTCTTTGAATGCACTCGGGTGTTTAATTTGTGGGTGGATATGGGCTTTAGTGAGATGACAAAGTGGAGGGAGCTTGATAGTATGTGTGATTTGGTGGAGAACTGGAACAGCCTAGATCCTAGGATGAGGTGGCAACGTGGTGCTTTTCTTGTGTGGTGTATTTAGGGAGAGTGGAACAAGAAGGTTTTTGAGGATAAGGCTACGCTTAATTTTGTTCTTTTGGCGAGGGTGAAGCGTATGGTGGAGGAACAATACATGGGGAGTACGCTAAACGCATCTACATGAAAGCTTCACATAGTAGAAGTAGCAACAGCTTGGCCTAGGGTGGCTCCCCCACTTGGAATTATTAAAATCAATGTTGATGCTTCTCAGGGTTGGGTGGGTTTTGGAGCAGTGGCCATAGATCATAAGGGAGTTGTACTATTTGCTACCACCAAGAGGACACGTGCTCATTGGACAGCTTAAGTGGCGTAAGCTAAAGCCATTACTATGGCAGCACAGTTGGCAAGAGGTATTGATACACTAATGTGATCCTTGAGACGGATTGTCAAACGATCACCCGCAAACTCGCTATTTTGTTGACATTTTTAGACCCCGGCACGAATTTAGACTCCATCCTTAGAGACAATTTATCTTTTTGTATTTTCTTTAATTCCATTGTTTGGTCTCATGTAAAGAGAAAGGCTAATTTTGTTGCACACCACCTCGCTAAGCTAGTCTTATTTTGAGATGAGCAAGTTTGGGAGATCTTTTGTTCACATGAGATTACTCTTTATGTTTTGTCAGACAATTTAGCTGCTTAATTGTTCTTGATTAATGCTAGCTTGATTTTTCCCAGAAACAAAAAATTAAAAAAATAAAAGCAATAAAACATGTGTAGCAAACAATATTGGAAGCAATTAATAAAGCATTTATTTGAAACAACATAGCAATCAAAGCAACCTAAACATGGTACTAACAATCAATGTAGAAAAATATAGGGTTTTTCTTGAGGTTGTAGAGTTTTCAAGGTGTGCCCATACTTTTTAAAATTTACAAGTTGTGTCCTTCCACTTCAGGTGTTTAATCAATCGTACCCTCTGACGTTAACTCGACGTTAGTAATTGTAAAAAAAATGGGAAGTAATAAGAAACGAATGAGAAAAAAGAAGTACATCGAGAGCTTGATATATCAATGGTTGCTTTTAGAAGAATGAAGAAAAAGTCGATAACAAAATGTGGAAAAAATGCTTAATATTAATTCCTTTATACAACTCTCATCCAAATTGGGCGTGAAATTTTTCTCCAAAGTGGGGTAATTAACAGTTAACATAACTACTAACGTTGGGTTAATATCAGAGGGTACGGTTAAATAAACACCTTTAGTTTGAAGGCACATCTTGCAATTTTAAAAAAACATAGGCACAACTTAGAAACTCAACAACTACGGGGACTTAGATTAGAAAAACCAAAAAATAAAATATTTAAATCTATAGAAATAAAGTTAAATACATATTTTGAACACACACTTTGAAGGCTATGTTATGAATAGATAGTAACTTTAATAAATTATGAACCAAAATGTATTAAATTTAAAAATTAAATTGAATGAAAATCAACCTCAAGACTGTACCTTTTAACCTTGGTCTAAAGGTAGAACCTCGAGTTTTGTTTTGAAAAGTTGAGTTACTTGAATAAGGGTTTGAAACTGATTTAGAGGTCTAAGAGTATCTTGCCTAGGCTCTACGGAGGTTGATGGATGAGGCCTTTGAATAAACCATAAAAAGGTCAGGGTATTTATAGTTTAACGAGTCGAAAAAGGTAGACTAATCAAGGAATTAGTGTGACATACACGTGAAAGATTATTTGCATGGCGCGCCAAAGGGTTAACATGCCACGCCAAGTGGGGTGTCACGCAAATTTGGAAAATAAAGTAGTTGTTCGTATATAAATTGTGGCTAGCTCAAAAGAAGAAGTTGATTAAGCAAAATAAAACCCTAAACTCCGGCGTCACCCGATTTATTCGTGTGATACGCAAATCAAAGGAGTGTCACACGAGTCTTAAACCTCCATAACGATTACTTTTTAGATATAATATTCGATTTTCATAAATCTAATATATATATATATATATATATATATATATATATATATATATATATATATATATATATATATATACGGGAGGTTCTGTTGAAAACAAAGCTTATGGTGAAAACTAAAAATAAGAAATCTTAGTCATTGAATGTTCACTAGATAATCTGATGGTGTGAAACAACCCAAAGTTCACTATATACAAAAATAAGGTAATTATATCAAGTTATATTAATTTTGATGAAATTTACACCGAGGTCACTATATATAGAAATAAGGTAACTATATGAATTTTTACAATATTTACTTAGACGTCACTATATACAAAAATAGGGTAATTATATCAATTTTGACCACATTTACATAAATATCACTATATACAAAAATAAGGTAATTATATCAATTTTGACCACATTTATACAGAGGCCACTATATATAAAAATAACGAAGGTCACTATATATAAAAATAAGGTAATTATATCAATTTTGACAACAAGTCAGCTCTGTGATTGTATGGCTGTTCGCGAACAAGCTTAGGAGCCATGTACAATGGAGTACCTGAAACAGTCAGATGCATAAACTGAGCAAAAGTGTTAACAGTAAAATAATTTGTGAATAAAAGACCAACTTCTATAACTCCTTTTCTTTTTGCATTCTTTGGACCTGATGGAGAGTTAACAAGGGTTTTGACAATGTAAAAGAAAATCATCTAAAGAGCATAAACAGAAATTAAGTCCACAGAAATTAAGTCTACGGAAATACAAGAAAAAAGTATTTGCATCAACCATAATGAACTTGGAAATTAGATTACTAGCAAAGCAAACAAATCACAAAGCTGACCTTTGATGGAGCGAAGTACAACAATGTTCATTAACATGGCACGAGCAAATCCAAAATCACAAAGCTGGAGTAAAGATGAAAAAATATAAGATAATGCAAAGTTCATAAAGGAAATTGGCAATACAGTCATTACTGAACATCAAATGTTACCCAATCTCCTATGCTTACAGCTAATAAAATTATGAATTGTTTTCAATTGACCTTTAACATGAAATTCAATGACAATAAAAGGAACAAAAAATTAATGAGACATTCCAAACAAGTACATTATGAGCAAATAGTAAATCTTTGTCTCCAAATTGGACAACTATGGAGTTATAGTCATATCCATTAGACTATGAAAATATAAATATAAACTATGAAAAGCTCAGAAAATAATGATTCTTCAACAATAAATATAACTATTACCAAAAGAAAATGAGGGTGGAAATTATGGATAGCCAAAGAGCCAAAAGTAAATATCATACAAAAAGTGAAGTAAACAGATAGCTCCTGAATACCTAACCTTAACAATGGAGCCTGAACCAATAAGAATATTTTGCGACTTCATGTCCCTATGAATAATTCGGTTGGAATGCAAGTAATGCAGTGCTCTCACTTGAATATTTGACCAACAAAAACAATCATAAACCTATTCATTCACTTCGAGCAGAAATCTATCAAGCATCACAGGGTACTTCAGTTCTAGTGCTCTCACCTGATTATTAATCTAGCTACTTACACAGATCGAACATAACAATCAACATCAACTAATGTTCAACATTCATTCGAATTGAATCAATCAAGTGGCTTACACGATTCATATATACAATTCTAGTGCTACATTGATATTAATAAACATTCTAATAAAAAAAAATTCAGCAAAATATCTATTACAGAAAAGCTCAAGAATATTATTTGAAATAAGTTATTAGAGAGAGGAAGATTGAGAGAAAGACCTTCAAGCATTGCGATGAAGACTTCATCGGCAATTATTTCCGGCAATTCAGGTCGGAGAATTGAGCGTGAATTTGAAGGATTATTTTCTTCGATTTGTTCTTGATCAATCTAGGTTTTGTATTTGCCAAATTTATACTCAAATCGCTCAATTTGATTTGTTTTTATTCAAGTTTATAAACAATTTACATTGAAATTCATGCGAAATTCATGAAATCAAATCCGAAAACTGCATAAATCAAATCGCAAAAATCAAATCACAAAATTTCAGAAAGCATAATCAAGAAAAAATAGTGAAATTACTCAAAAAAAAACAAATTAATACGAATAACTCACTTGGTAGTAGATCGTAGAGCTAAGAAATTGCTGAAAATCAAAGTAATTGAAGCTGGATTTGAAGAAGTAGCATGAAATTGGCAGAAATTAGGAGAGAGAAGGTAGAGGAGTAAGAAAATAACGTGCAAATGAAGGAGGAGAGAGAGATTGTAGACATTTCGCATAAAAATTGGGGGAAAAAATCTCGACCGTAAGATTTGATGGATCAGCAATCTTAATGTTTTTAGTTTTTAGCTTAAAGTTGGTTTTCACATGATTCAACTCATATATATATATATATATATATATATATATATATCATATCACTAATAAATAAAGCCGGTCTCGCAACCAGGTCACGAGACAGCGACACTTGGCATTCCAGTTTTTTGCTAGGTATCGTGCCACGTAGGCGACAAATAGGATGCTAAATTATCGAATTTGGATAGATTTTTGAAGATAAAAATGCTTTATAGAGCTTTATTATAGATACAATACTAATATTTTATATATACAAAATTAACCATAACTATTAATAAAAATCTAACAACTCAGTTTTATTTCCATTATAAGATTCGTTTTAAAAAAGTTCTTTAAAATAAAATCCAATTATAATATATTTAAAATAATAGAGAATTAGTTAAAATAAGTTTTAATCGGTAAAAGAACTTTCGGTTTAGTTAAAATAATTCAAGTATGATATCGCATGTATATATATTCTGCATTATCAAAAGTGATTATATGATCGTATTTAACATTTTAGCCAAAAGGTTTATCCTAATATTCAATAAACAACCTTGGCATCACCCGGGGCACAAAATTGTCATATCACTTCACTAATAAATAAAACCGGTCTCTGTAATACCCTGGAAATTTTCTTCTTTTAAAAATATTCATTTTACTCTAAATAAAACCCTTTTTAGGAAATAACCAAAATATTACCGCCACCGTGATAACGGCTAAGGCTAATTTTCAAAGTCACACAACAGAAGTTTAAAAATAAAAACCAACTTTAAAAAAAAAATAAAAAAAAAAAACTTGAGTTCACAACCTCAAAACAAAAGTAGAATAAAACATTCACAAGTTGGAAACAATAATTCAAACATGGGCCTTCTTAAAAACCAATTAAAAATAAACACAATATTGTTAGTCCATAAACAATAACCAATAATTCAAAAATATCAAACTAAGAAACATAACAAGTAACTCTTTGCACTCTTTCAATTCACATCATGCTCTTCATGCGTCAAGTACATGTTACTTCCTCTTTATTTCAACCCTCTACTCGCCATATAAATGGGTCATAGTAGGGTTAATCCAAAGGAAAGTCAAACACAAACACAAAAGTAAAAATCAACAAAAGCTGAGTACATATGCACCACACTAACATGAATATCCACTAGGCGAAAATTGCTAATCAGCACCGGTTCAAAACCCCCATTTCGCATCGATTTTGAACCGGTTCTGATTTGAGGGATGCCAAATCCCAAGACTTTTCGCACCGGTTCTTGATGTGAACTGGTGCGAAAAGTCCCCAAAAATATTAAAAAAAAACTTTTAGCACCGGTTCGTGCTGTGAACCGGTGACTAAAGTGGCCCAAAAAAATTTTAAAAAAAACTTTTAGCACCGGTTCTGTTTCAAAACCGGTGCTAAAAATTCCTCAAAAAAATAAAATAAAAAAACTTTTCTTTTTTTGCAATTTTTTCACTTAAATTGATATATAAACACTAACATATATATAAATTTACATATTTTCATTAAAATAGGCTGTAATATTACAATTTTCGTCCAAAAAAATAAAATCATAGTTTGTCTCATTACTAAAATCACCCACAGCTACCAAGAAATCCAATCATTTCCAACTCTTCTAAAACTGACATCAAAGTTCAGACTACATCCTTAAAACAGTCACAGGCTCACAGCAACAGAATGAAAATAATACCTTTTGAAAATGTTCTGATATTTAAGGGAGTGTTACATACATAGTTACAGATCATATGGAGCTTGTTTCATCTATTCTACATAGTTAAAAAAAATAATTCAAGATGCTACCTTCTTACACTTCTTGGCAAGCCTGGTTGGCATCGCAGACCTCTCTCAGTCTCTCTTTTGTTTATTGTTTCATTGTTATCGTTATAGTTGCCACCCATGCTTGCTGCAGGCTTGCCTTGAGCTTGCAGTGCGACTTTTATATAGAATTCTAGCCTCCATAATGTGGATTCACTCTATATGTCAATGGAAAAATATTCCTAAAATGATCTGACAAGAAGCTAGCCTGTGGGGCAGACAATATATCCTGAAAAAGACTACGTGAGCATCTATAGCGAGGTCCACCTCCTCAGCGCATTAATACAAAACCAGGATTGCTCAGGACAACAATCTCTAGTGCCCCACTGAGAACATCAGTGGATAGCCTTGTGACTTATGAGCGCTATGCCAACCTGCCTTTCCTCTTCTGCTGACATTTTCCTAAAATTTAATGATTCAAATTTAGATTAAAAAATGCAGAGAGCAAATAGACCAATGTTCAACCAAAAAACTTCAGAAACGTAAACCACTTTTCTCTGATGAAAGCTTAATTTACAGTCAATTTCAGCTGGTAAGCAACAAGAAAGCAACCAAAAACATTAGACACAGAAAAAGATGATTCAATGGCTATTCGAAGAGAGAGTTCAGGTTATATCCTGAATGAGAAATTTTCTAACCATAAAAGATCTGGGAGACATGTCATATTCATAACTTGAATATCATGAGTCATTTTGCATTTTGACATTAGAAACAGCATGGACATCCTCTGCAACACAGACACCTCTTTGAGGGATAATTATAGGGTCATTTGCTTTAAGCGTTGCTTACATGGGTTAGGAGCAAAAAAGAATTCAAGCTTCTTACATGAAATAGATAGCTCATATTAGCATATATCGGCTCAGGAAACAAACACAGAAGCATACCCTTAAGAGTTAAAATTAGACACAGGAACTAAGTAAATTAGTATAATGAATCCATATCCCTGGGTATTTTAGATATATGAACAAAAATCTAAAGCTACAAATTCAAATGAAGGAGCAAAAAACCCATCCAAAGATAGACCCAAGTGCAGAAACGAAAGGTCACCTTATTGTGTAATCCTCAACGGTGTACAAAGTACTCCACAGCTTCCGCCATAGCTTACTTTGTCATCCTTCAGGCTCAAAAGCTCGGGGGGTAAAACTCCTTTAGCTCATGGAAAACTGCCCCATATTGGTACTTGAAATCATGTAGAGATTCATTGAGAGCTCTTCAATAAGCATTGTGGATGCCATCTTGATAATCAAAGCATAGTATAACAAAGTTTCACTTAATGAGAAGAAATTTCACATGGGTTATCTACACAAGAGTGACCCCAGAAGAATGACATGAACAAAATTGCAAGTAACACTCAAAAAAGTCAAAACACAGAGGACCACCAAAAATTGAAGAAAAGAGTATGATAACAATACCTAGAATCAGTCTATAGGTAAAGTAACAAATAAGACAGAATTTGGGGGATTTGTTAAACATCGCCCGCAAATCTCCACATAAAGCCCACAAATTAGACATGGTTTGACAATTTTGCCCATTTCTAAAATCGTACCCAAAGTGAACAAATCTCGATCTAACAAATGTGGAGTCGTACTGGGTTGCCCAGGAAGACTGGAGGGGAGGCCGGAGAGGCGAGGGATGCCGGAGATACGTCGTCTTCGACGGAAAACGAGGTGGCGCCTAGTTTGGACGCCGGAACCATGGCAAGGACGTCCAGGCAAGGCGCCACAACCAGTGCATTGGCGTCTAGGCCAGACGACACAACCAGTGCACTGGCGTCCAGCCCAGGCGCCTCAACCAGTGCACAGGCGTCCAGGCCAGGCGCCACCACCAGTGGACTGGCGTTTCTGCCAGACGCCGCCTTAATTTTTATTTTTTTTTTGCCTTTTTATTTTGTTTTTGTTTTTTTTTTTTTTAAAAAAATGAAAATCCTGAATTCTGTTAAAAACAGTTTTTTTTTTTGAAATTATGTTTAATAAATTTATGTTTTGATTTAGGATGTGGAAATTATGTTTTTTATTTGATTTTATAAAAAATATATATATACTAGACTTATAAAAAATAACACATAAAATTATTTAAAAGTAACACAAATTTTCTGATTTTCCAAAAAATATATATATATATATATATATATATATATATATATATATATATATATATATATATATATATATATATATATATATATAAGGCAGGTGGGGCGCCTGGCCAGGACGCCCACCCATTGGCGGTGGCGCCAGATCCGGCAGCCATAGCCAGTGGGCAGGCGCCTGGTTTGGACGCTTCTACCGTTGGCTGGGCTTCCAAGCCACACGCCATGCCACCGGCACTGGTTGTCGGAGCTGGCGCCACCGCCAGTGGGTGGGCGTCCTGGCCAGGCGCCCCACCTTCGCCGCTTATTTTTTTTAAAAAAAAATAATTTAAATAATGACCTTGCCACCAAGTCGCCGCCTTTCCTCCGCCGCCGCCGCCGCCACCTCTTTCCCTTGCCGCTTTTAGAGAGATGTAGTGAGTGGTTTTTGTTAAAAACGAAAAGGGCAATAAGGTCACTTCAATACAAATTTGTGGGCTTTATGTGGAGATTTGCGGGCGATGTTTAGCGATTCACGAATTTGGACACCTAAGTTTGAAATTCATAATCACATTCACAAATGTAAAAGTAATTGAACACCATAGATTGTCTACTTATAGAAGCATAGATGAGTTGCTAGATAACATGTAGCTGTCTAGTATTCGTAGGAGAGTGGCTGGAAAACAATAAAATATTGATTGTCCTACCAACTAAAAGCATTAGTCTCTGATCCAATAACAAGGGGAGGTGGGGGGGGGGGGGGGGGAGGGTGGGAGCGGGGGATATTTATATCATACTCCTTACTTTAAATACAATCTCTCCCTGACTGCATTGTTTGCCTCTTCATTTAAAATTTACATTTGTGATCCCATGTACTTTCATAGTCTTTGAAAAGTACTTCCCATTGACCTTGTTGAAAACATATATGTGCAAAAGCAATGAAAAACAAGAAATTAATAAACAAGCAATAATGCTAAACTTAAACTATGCAATTCATGCCTATTAAGGTATTAAGTATAATTTTGCTCATACATTTTGCTCAACACCTATTTACACCAATATTAAAATTTCATTGAAAAAGAAGGAAGAAAAATAGAATTTCTTTATATAAGT